CTGTTGGTTTCTGGCCGCCATGTTGGTGCCCATACAGATGGGCACCAGCATGGCGTCTCCATACAAATCTCTATAAATTTGGGTAAAAAGTTTTTCCGCATATCTCGCGTAAGAAAAGTTGCTGTGACCAGAATTTTGGTGAGAGTCTTTGCACATTTACCTTCTTTCATTTCCGAGATTCTGGACTTTATTTATTCACCGGTTTTGATTTTGATTTTGATCTATTTTGAATTGCGTGACACTGAAAACCAGTAATACGGACCGACTCCAAGCCGGACAATAACATGTTTATCATTTTTTCTTATATTGCGGTAAATTGGCTTACAGGTGGGTTTGTTTACGCAGCTTTGTCGTTGAATTGGCTTACGCGTCGCCCACAGACTCTACAAACCATTCGTAAGAAATCTAACGAGCGAACGAGCGAGTAGCTCAGATACTAGACAAAGAAAGATGTACTAAAGAACAGATTTATACCGAACTACTCTATGTTAGTTGCATTTAGTTCACTATGTAAGTTCTGTAAAAGTGCTTTTCCGGTGCGAAATTTCGTCCAAAGTTTCAAGTTGTTCTTCAAAAAAAATTCTGTCAGTCGTTGAGAACTATTAGAAGAGGCCAAAGCAACTTTAGCATTGTCTTTATTTTTGTTAGTTGAAAAGAAAACGGCTATTATCGTGTCGTTTCGGTAGGACAGCTCAGTTTTAAGTGCCGCTCGTACTGCGGGCGCAGCCGCCGTATGCTAGGCATATCTTCACATCTGAAGATATCATATCGTTGTTATCAATTAATTGTTACCACTCGGTATACTACTGACTTTTACATAATAAAACACCTTCTCGCGTACGATTAGTTTTCTGCGATTAACTATTAAACATCCAAACATTGATGGTGGCTGAAACATAAAGAGCGTAAATGTAATTTTTTTTTTTTCTTTTCTAGCGCCAATACATGGCGAATGGGGGTCATGGGAAGGGCCTAGCTGGTTCAACACCAAATGTAAAAATGGGATTAAGACCAGATACCGCCAGTGTAACAATCCCCACCCAGCTCATGGTGGGAGTTACTGCCGCACGGACATCCTGGGAAGAAGCAAGCAGATAAAGTGCAGTCCATGTGAAACAGACAATGGAGGATGTGATCATATATGTATAGACGTTGGTGATTCTCGCCGCTGTGAGTGCTACCCTGGTTATCAGCTTTATTCCGAAACTGGGTGCGAACGTAAGTGACCCCAGCATTTTTGTGGGAAGTATTTGTAAACAGTAGATGGACAGTGAAAGTTGCAATAAATACCCCTTGATCACATTACAATGCATTTCATTATCAAGTCATGAACAACAGCTTCATTAAGAGTGGTTTTCCCTGGCGCATAAGCATAGATATAAGCAACATGTTACGTAGACGCAATAACGTGCTGTTAACAAGAGCGTTTTGTTGAGAAAATTTGGTAACAAAAGGCGCTAATTATCGTAGTGAAAACCAATAATATTTTTTGGCGAGGTTAATTATAGTTTTTGCTATGCCAAGTGTTCCATACTATCGTAGCTTCTCCCAGTGTCTTTTACATGAAGCACCTGGGAGTATTTTTACTCCCCCCACCCCCAGAGGGGATGCTACTTTCTTGTAAGGTTACCTCCAACATTAAATTGGTTGCTAACCACTTATACACCTGGGCGGAGAGAGGCACTGTGAGAGTATGCTGTATTGCCCAACAACTAACAAATTAATCCTGGTCAGGGTTTAACCCAGACGCTTAACCCAGAGACCAGCGTATTAACCACTTTTCCATCGCGCCTCTCTCTACGATGCAAAAAGAAAAGGTCTTTCCAAACAGTTAACTGAGTGTTAAACAAGGAGTTGATGTTGATAGTTTTGAAGACATGATTGATCATCGCAGTTATATACACAACTTAAACAGTTGTGAAATTAATGCCTGAAAAAAATTCAGGTCTGAACGGGATTCGAACCCATGACCTCTGCGATACCGGTGCAGTGCTCTACCAACAGAGCTATCAAGTAAACGAGGAGCTGAACATGTTGTGAGTTCGTTATATACTACAAAGAATTTAAATCGACTTCAAAGATCCTGAAAATGGGTTTTGGAGAGGAAAACAACTCAGAAGATATTGTTAGTAATTAGTATGGGTAATTTCCTGAATTATTTCGAAATTCGAGGCTAGAAGTGTAGGTCAACGATTGTAAGTATCGCTTTACTGGTAACCTGTGGTAACCCAAGCTTAAACAATCCATGAAGGCAAGCTTTGTTTTTTTTTGTTTTCCTCTGTAAACTGCACTTCTCTAAATACTTGGCGAAATGAATAAAGAATGCAATGTGATCGTTTTGACTTTTTTTTTTTTTTTCTCGGAGGCCGTTGAGCTACCATATAATAAAGAAATATTCATAGCTAACAGCGGCAAATGTTTGTGATTAATAATTCGCTTAAGGAAAAATTTTGCAAGAAAATATTTTTCTGACATCATCGACTTCTGATATTTCAGTACTCACTGACGGCTTCTCTTTCAGTTCACAAGTGTCAAGCCTTAAGTGACCCGGACAATGGTCAGATCACTCCTGATATTTGTAAAGTAGAACCTCTCCACGGACAAGTATGTTCCTACAACTGCAGTCCAGGCTACACACGCAATGGGCCTGAGTCAAACATGTGTGTTAACGGTCTCTGGACACAAGATGGATTTCACTGCCTGAGTAAATCTTTAGATTATACAGCTTTGAGAAAAGTGTCGCGTGATGCTAGAAAAAATTTAAATCGATTTCAAAGATCCTGAAACTGGGTTTTGGAAAGGAAAACAACTCAGAAGATATTGTTAGTAATTAGTATGCATGGGTAATTTTTCCTGAATAATCTCGAAATTCGAGGCCAGAATCGTGAGTCAACGATTGTAAGTATTGCTTTACTGGTGACCCAAGCATAAACAATCCTTGAAGGCAAGCTTTGTTTTTTTTTTCTCTGGAAAGCACAATTTGTGCTCATTAAAATGAGATATAGTACGTAAACTGCACTTCTCTAAATACTTGGCGAAATGAATAAAAAATGCTATGTGGTCATCTTGACTGTTTTTTTGTTTTGTTTTGTTTTTTTCTCGGAGGCCATTGAACTGCCATATCATGAAGAAATATTCATAGCTAACAGCGGCAAATGTTTGTGTTTAATGATTCTCTTAATTATGGGAAAATTTTGCAAAAAATAATTTTAAAATTATCAACTTCTGATATTTCAGTACTTACTGATGGCTTTTATTTCAGTTCGCAAGTGTCAAGCCTTAAGTGCCCCGGACAATGGTCAGATCACTCCTGATATTTGTAGAACAAAACCTCTCCATGGTCAAGTATGTTCCTACGAGTGCAATCCAGGCTACACACGCAATGGGCCTGGGTCAAACATGTGTGACGACGGTTTCTGGACTCAAGGTGGATTTCACTGCCAGGGTAAATCTTTAGATTATACAGCTTTGAGAAAAGCGTCGCGTGATGCTGCATAGTCAGATATAAAACACAGCACGAGATGGTAGAAAATGCCGTTAGAACGATCGTATCGTGAAAAACTCCACATCGAGTGGACTATAAAAGACATGTTTAAATCATATTTAACTACACAAAAGTGCGATAAAATGTTTTTTAAAATAAGC